CACTTTCAACAGCCTTGGGAATCAAATTATCAGTAGTGGCTAGCAGCAGGCTGGATTACACATGAACTCTGATAGTGACACATGGACCAGGCACCAGTGGGTTAGGTTATATTGGCAAGTAACCAAGAGAAGAGGAAGCATATCTATGTTAAAGAGAACGGGAGACAATACACAATGGTACTGTGCATCTCAGCAGCTTCAGATGGCACATTCTTTGATAAGCTGGACTGTGCAGAGTCTAAAAGTTTTGAAATTAGTTGTATTTTCATACAGTAAATTTGTTATTTATTTTTTGAAAGGGGTCCTTGGAGGGCTAACACTCTCTTTAGGGATAAAAGGAAGCTATGTTTTCACAAACCGAAATAAGAAGATAAAACACGCACACGAGTAATATTAAAAAATCTGTATTAAAAGAACATTATTTAGGTTGCAAAGTCAAGCACTTGAAACGTAGGAAATACTAGGTTTACAGTTGCCTGTGCAGCCTTAATTCTGCCCCCTTGTACGTCCTGTGCACTGAATGAAGCAAGCATCTTGTGGAAAAAGTAATAGATGACTATGTAATTAAAGACTGTATCATAACGCTGTCGTGGTCAAAGACCCCCACGCAGTCATTTTAGTTCAAAGACTCAAGCCTGAGGCCAGTTTATTGACATACAAACCAGTGCACTGGGGTGTAGTCCGGAGACCAACACACCGAGCCCCACACGCAGGCGGGCTTTTATTCCATCAAACCACAAGCAAGGTACAAACAATACGTCATAAGTTAGGAAATTTGGGGTTAGTCACAAGCCGGGCATGGGTTGATCACGAGCTAAGAAGCTGGGGTTGGGGTCTGTCCTCCCCCTCCCCGCCTTCTTTCTTAATTTCCCGAGAAGTGAGTGTTTATGTGGGTAGAGGGGCGTTCAGTGGTTTCCGCAGGGGTGGCGCTCGGCCCTAGCTTGGGTACATGTCTTAAGACTTGGTACATGTCATTTTCCGGGGGATTTCGGTAAAGGTTTAAGGGGGGTTTCCAGGGGACGCTTAAAGGAGAGCTAACATTGGTTAATTTGCAGATAGCTGGAATTGGAGAATTTGCAGATAGCTACAACTGCAAGAGTGATTAGCTCTTTGCAAAAGCAATTTCTTAATGTATTTCATAAACTTGCGGTTATTATATTGCTAAAGCAGTCTTTCTGTAGCTTTTAGCATTATTCTGTGTTTCTTTCCTTCCTCCTTCCTCCCTCCTCTGGACATGACCCTTGACCTAGTCTAGCTCAGGCTTTAGGCCTGCCCTACTCTGTGTAAAGGCCATCAGCATAACAGATCTCTGTTGGAGGGTTTATTTCGGGGCCTTCAGATCCACAGCTCTGGCTATCAAAAAGAAGGCCCCCCTGCTCTATTTCCCCACAACGCGTACGCACAAGGACGCTGGAATTAAAATTGCGCAAGCAAGTGCAAATCTAACACTTCCTAACTTTTGAGTGCTTGAGTCTGAAAACTAAATACCTTTCTTTTAATATAGCTTTAAATGTAATTTTCAAGGTTGTTTTAAAAGGAAAAAGGTTCTATCATGTGTGACTGTAACCATCCCTCCCCCATCATCATCATCATCAGCGTTTCGACTGAACTGTTAGCATTGCAGTACAAATTGCTACTGCTGGATCTTCAGAACTAACTACATGGGCTGTAAGCAGCAGAAGGCTGGTTTGTGAAGGGAGATCCGAGCCTGGCCTGGCTCTCTTCCCTCTTTCTCTAGCCCCACTAGGAATTGGCGTAGCTCCTGCCCCACTTGGTGCCCACAGAGGGTGGGGTGGACTATGGTGGGTTCGGATGGTGGTTGATCTTGTGTGCAGTTTTTCTGTTTTGTTTCCTATTCCCTACCTTTGGGAGTTAGAGGATCTGCAACTCCATCTCCGCAGAGGGACAGGGGGCTGGCTGCTAGGGAACAGGTGTTCAGCCTGAGTGGTGAGATTGCAGTATGAGGTGAAGAAACCTTGCCCTATGTTGGTACTCTCAGAAGAGGGCAGAGGCCACTGGGCCCATGAGCCAGGTCTGGGGATGGGGGGACCCTTTCCTAGCCCACTATAGCTGCTCTGGCAGCTCCCAGATATTCCTGTTGCTGCTGCTTTGATGCTGACATGAGCCTGGCCTTAGAATTTGTGCATGCAGTTATTATTCTGGCAGTCTGCCAACATTTTTCCTGAGGAACACAATCAAGAGAAGAGAAACAGGAATTTTTAACAGTTTATACCTCAGCAAAAAATGAACAGAATTTCTCGAGACAATGAAAAAGTGCTTCTCTAGCATGAGCACATTCCACCTGCCCAATATCAAAGGCCTGCTGCAAACAATGGTGTGAGAGTTTCTCACAGGAATGGTTGCAAGAATCCTTCATACGGGAAAGTGTTAGGCTAAATATAGAGGTTTCTACCAGCTCCTCCTATAATGTGTGTGTACGTAGATATAGATATAAAGAGACCCATTCCTCCTCCTCTTTCCTCACTCTTCCTCAAGTATGTGGTAGCAAAGAGAATTCTAGTACTTGAAAGTTTTCATACATGGCAGTTTAAATAGGAGAAGGATGTCCAAGTTGTGCATTTGGATATTCGCATTAACACCTCAGGATATAAAAAGCAGAGAGAGAGGCCTGAACCAGAACACCAGATTGGAATCCTCTCAAGCTAAGGGGCAGTTTGGATCCGAATCTGAACTTCGAGGCTCAGTCACATGGGTCTGCTGAAAAGAGCATTTATATCCCAAAGAGCCAATTTTGAGGGTCCAAATGCAGGATTTGACCATTTTGTTAAGATTCCCATTTTTGAAAACTGGGCTTCCCGTGTTTCACAGTCAGAATCCAGAATATTCTTTGCAAATTTTTTTATTTTTTCTAAGCAAATTGGAAGTATCTTGCTCTCAGTCATTCTTTGCAGTAATGTAATGAGTGTTACAGCTGCTTCTTGTAGCAAGTAAAAAAAAAAAAAAAAAAGTTCTTCAATGGAAAGCACCAGGTCTGATTTTAATAGGATTTTATGTTAGTGCAGTTCTAGAGTTGGTTTTATTTTATTTTAGCTTATTGTCTTCCCCTCTTCTGGGCTAGGCTTTAGCTATCCAATGTTGTAAGCTTCCAATTTTCATGACGGTTGCAACTCTCTGGCAAGAAACAGAAATGATTGCATTGGCTTTAGTAGGAGGCTATTTTTCATTTTTAGATTTATTGAGATCTGAATCACAATTTCCTTTAAAATTCCATATTTAAATCTTGGACAGATCTGATAATCCTGTTTAAAAAAATAAAGGGATTGAGCTACTTCCGTTGAGAACTTTGCTTATGAGCCTTCTGGTAGAGATATGTTGGTGACAGTTATAATGTTGTGTTTATGAAGCTCAGAAATATTAAGATTGAGATTTGAAATCAAATCTATCAGGAATTGTGCCCTGCAGTAGATTGGGGGAGATTCTTATCTGAAACTAAAACAGCAGTATCATGTTAAAAACTTCTTTAAAAACCAACCAGACAATTTTGTTGTTCTGTTATTTTTGGTATTTATTCAGTTATAATAAGACAATTTTAACCACTCAAAACTGATGACAGCCACACTGTTGCCGAGGTGTTAATACAGAACTTCATCTGCAGTACTCTGATACATTATGCACTAGCTGGTAGGAGAATAAGCATTATACATTAACTGGTAGGAGAATTTTTGTTGTCTTCTGCTATTTTTTTCTGTGTGTAGATTTCTGTTCCTCAAATGGGTATATGTGAGTCGTATTTGTAATGTTCTTTATGCCACGTCCTTCAAAGTGCTGAGTGCCTCCTGAGAAATGCTGAGTTCCTTAAGATACTAATGAAGACAGTGGCCATTATGGGCACTCATCCTCATAGTCTCTAGTACTGTAACTGGTAGAGAGAAAGCTGCCCCATTCCTCCAGCATGGAATTGACTGTCATCGCCAAGCTTCACTCTTGTGCCCATCCTATAAGAGACAACAATGGGGACCAGGGCCGGTGCAACCATTTAGGCGACCTAGGCGGTCGCCTAGGGTGCTAGGATTTGGGGGGCGCCATTTTCGTCGGCAGCGACCGCGGCGGCCGGATCTTTGGCCGCCCCAGTCGCCGCCGGCATTTAGGCGGAGGGAGCTGGGGCAGTGGAGCACGGGGAGGGCCGTCTGCAGCAAGGGGGGCAGGGGGCAGCATGCAGGGGAACTCCTCGCCCCAGCTCACCCCTGCCCCGCCTCCTCCCCGAGCACGCCGTGTCTGCTTCACTTCTCCCGCCTCCCAGGCTTGTGGCACCTAAGCTGATTGGCGCCGCAAGCCTGGGAGGTAGGAGAAGTGAAGCAGCGACAGCGTGCTCGGGGAGGAGGCGGGGCAGGGGTGAGCTGG